GGTAGTGAACCATCGGCCTGGAACCAATGACCAGGAACCGGGGAACCCGGAACCGGGAATTTGGGAACCCAGCGTGCCACCAAAATAGGCGAGGCATTTTCGCCAACTCTAGCAACATCCGCGAGGACCCCTTCAGTGCAAGCACTGATTGGGGAAATATATAACACAAAACGAGCGTTTCGCTTGAGACATCTTCAACAAATCCTGAACAACAAACGTTTGCTCGGGACATCCGCAAAAAAAATCCGCCGGCCCTCTTCCCGCTTCGTTATTAATCGCAGAATAATTCCGCCGGCCTCCTTCAAGTCGAGGCGGGGGGGGAAACCTACTAAAAGAGAGCCCTGGGCCTAAGCCCTTTCTCTTTCTGGCAAATTCATCACCCTCGTCCACATCCCTCAAGGGAGGAAATATCACCCGGACCCGATATTTGGCGTTTACTGAACGGCCCTGGGCGTTTACTGACCAGCCTTGCCCTGTTCGATTCCTTCTTTGGGCGCGTTTACTAAACGACTTCGCGCGTCGGGGTGATTATTATGGGGGTGGATGTTTTGACCTCTAATTTAATCCTCTTCCTCGCCATCTCCGTCGCGACCCTCCCGCTCGTGCTTCGGGAACCGCGGGCTGCGGCCAGGCACTCTTTAGGGGCCGCGTGGTGCCGCGCCGCCAGCGCTGACACACCACGCCGCGGTTCCATTTCAATCCTTCTCCTCCTCCTCCTCCTCCTCCTCCTCCTCCTCTTCATCTTCACCTGCCTCCGTCTCCTCCTCCTCCTCCTCCTCCTCCTCCTCCTCCTCCTCCTCTTCATCTTCACCTTCCTCCTCCTCATCCTCCTCTTCCTCCTCCTCCTCCTCTTCCTCCTCCTTCTTTTCCTCGACCTCCTTCTCCTCCTCGTCCTCCTCCTCCTCTTCCCCCCCCCTCCTCCTCCTCCTCCTCCTCCTCCTCCTCCTGCTCATCTCCTCCTCCTCCTCTCCACGACCTCCTCCTCCCCTCCTCGCCCACCGTTTCTTCCTCTTCTTAATATTATCATGATTATTATTATTATTATTGTTACTCTTATTTTTCTTCTTCACCCTCCTCCTCCTCCTCCTCCTCCTCCTCCTCCTCCTCCTCTTCTCATCACCTTTCTCCGTCTCCTCCTCCTCCTCCTCCTTCTCTTCATCTTCACCCTCCTCCTCCTCCTTATTTTCCTCCTCCTCCTCCTTATTTTCCTCCTCCTCCTCCTCCTCCTCCTCCTCCTCCTCCTCCTCTCCTCTGAGACTCTACGACCTCCTCCTCCTCCTCCTCCTCCTCCTCCTCCCTCCTCCTCCTCCTCCTCCTCCTCCCCCTCCCCCTCCTCTCTCTCCTTCTCCTCCTCCTCTCCTCTACGACCTCTTCCTTCTCCTCCTCCTCCTCCTCCTCGTCCTCCTCCTCCTCCTCCTCCATCCACTTCCGGCCCCCGAACGCCGACGTCCCGAGCCTCTCCAGGCCTCCCGCCCCGCGCAGTGGAGCGGCACCCCGCTTGCAGGGCATCGCGCTCCTGAGGGGCACGGCCCCCGAAGTCGGGTGTTGCTAGAAGTACCCCGGGCCAAGGTACCCCCAGGATTCTCGGGGTGGCCCAGGCGGCCTCCAGGGCACCCCTCATGAGGCCCAGAGGATCCCAGGGGCTCCAGAATGGAGCTGAAAAACTGGGGGCACCTTGGGCCAGGGGCACTTCTTGCAACACCCGACGAAGGTGTCTGGCACGCTTCCGGGCCCCGGGGCCCTGCCCTGCAGAGGACGGCCCCGTGCCGCGGAAGGCGCCCGGGCTCAGGACCGGCCTCCCTCGGGCCCCGCTGCCGTCGCGCCAGCATGCGGCGGCGCGCCGAGGGTCCGCCACAGACATATTCACACTGCGGGAAAACATGATCGACCCACGAACCCAGAAAGGAATACAGAAATGTAAGACATGGCACCTGATTGGGCGACGGGAAAATGCAATGCTGAGTGTATCGATCTTGATGTACCGTGCCGAGAGCTGTGCTGTGCTGCACAGTCTTGAACTGCGATGTGCCAGGCCACGATTGTGCTCTTTAGCGGTGTGGATCGAGTCCTCCTTTGTATCCGAGTCCTGGCCGAACTGATCTGGATCTTAAGCTCGAGCTGCCTGAGCACATAACTAGTAGCTGCCCCAGAGCTGATTGACAGGGGAACGTCCCCAGGGACGCGCCAGGCGACGTGCCAAGGGGACGTGCCACGGGGACGCACAGCGGGACGCACCGCGGGACGTGCCGAGGGGACGCGCTACGGAACGTGCCAATGGACGAGCCACGGGACGTGCCAAGGGACGCGCCGCGGGACGTGCCAGGGGGACTCGCCACGGGACGCGCCACGAAACGTGCCAGGTTGCAATGCTGAATGTATCGATCTTGATGTACCGTGCCGAGGGCTGTGCTGTGCAGCGCCGTGCTGAACTGCGATGTGACATGCCGCGATTGTGCTCTATAGCGTTGTAGATCGAGTCCTCCTTTGCTTCCGAGTCCTGACCGAACTGATCTGGGTCTTAAGCTCGAGCTGCCTGAGCACATAGTAGCTGCCCCAGAGCTAATTGACAGGGGAACATGCCAGGAGGACGC